GCTCAATTTTGAGATACACTGTGTTTGAGCTTTTCAAACTACCAACAAACAATCTATTTGTTGTCCTCCGGTATCCACATCGGGTAGGGCCGGTTTGGAATGCTGAATTGAATCAAAAAATTAAACCATTAATCGCTGTGAAAACAAACAAAAATCTAAAAAAATTCGGTGTGGAAAAAATCATTTATTCAAAAGGGATGTGTTTGTAAGAACTTAAGCCTATGTTAATAATCTATAGAATTTCCATTTGCCTCAATTACGGCCTCAAATATTCGACAGGTTCTGATAATATAGTCCGGATCCACATCCCTCCAGGTACAGGTCAATATTTGTCTGAGGCTTGCTGTACTGTAGTGGTGTTTGACGCAGGCCATAGGCCTTCATGATGCACCACACTGAATAATACAAGGGGTTAATATCATGGCTGAATGATGTCCACATATCTTTCGGCCAATTCTGCATGCGGTTCAGGCGTGCACAGTAAAAAACTTATTTTAATATCGCATCAAAGTGGATGCACTTCAATCGTGTTGGAAATATGGTGTAATATTACTTGCCAAAAGGACAAAATTATCATTAATACAGTGCATAAACTGACATTACACTGCTTTTACTGCATTCGTTTATTGTTGTGGCCATACAATTACATGAGATTTTCGACATGATTGAAGTGCATCCTCTTGGATGGAATATTAAGGTTTATTTTTTGCTGTGTGGTATAGTGCTGAAAGACCACTTTCGTCTCCGGTCCATAGTGCTCTGTAAGCCACGGAAGGACATACTTACTAAGGCTGCGTTCCATTTGGTGAATTTTGACTTAAATTTGACACTTCGAAAATAAATTATTCTCTTCGAAAATCCCTCTCTTGCTGATCGTCCGATTTTCAAAAAGGCGTTTGTCAAAATACGCATTTTTAATGCACCATCAACGTAGAGTGCGCCACGCGAGTTCGAGAAGAAACGTCACCAAACCGTTTATTTACAGCAGAATAACTATTTTTCACAACGCAAATTAAAGCATTTTTCATTCATCATCTTGCCAATTTCGATCGGTAATTGTCTTATTGTACGATTTTCCACAGATCTGAACTGATTTGTACCCTTACTATCCACACACAAGAAATCCGGAAGATCATAACCACTAAGGCACTTTTCTAATTTTTCATTTTTCGCAACAAAAAATATTCCTGTACAGCATCAGGAACTTTGCAAAAACGTTACAGAATTAAATTTTTCAACTGTAGATTAAGTTTTGGAGCATTTCAGATGAATCAATTTATCAGGAAAAGTAAAAAAGGGTTCCGCTTCCTATGCCTCAAGGCAAAAATTTCTGCTCACAACACTCTTTTTAACGTTCTCCTATTCACCACCAGAGGTTGAATCGATCGTTTAGTTCCCATTAAAAAGGCCTAAATTAAGTCCTGATCTGTCAGAAATAGGACTGCTCGAATAGCAGGTTTATTTGAAAATTTTCTATCTGTCAAATTTAAGTGAAAATTCAGCAAATGGAACACAGCCTAAGGCTGTGAACCATTTGCCGAGTTAAATTTAACTCGTGGTTAAAAGTGACATTTCGAAAGTTATTTTCTATGTTCGAAAATCCCCGTGCTGTCGATCGACCGGTTTTAGAGCCACGGTTGTCAAAATTTAACTTCTTGTCTGTCAGAAATAACCATGCTCGGATAGCAGGGTTAATCGATAACTTTTCATCTGTCAAATTTTAACCAAAAGTTAAAATAATCCACCAAATGGTTCAGAGCCTAAGAATGCCAATATCACCGTATTCACTGTATCCCCTTCAGTAATGGTGCAAACATTGTCAAAAAATTCACTTTATCCCCTTCAGGAATGTTGCAAACATTGCACAGTGGTCCAGAATGCAGATTTAGGTGGAATGATATGTTTTGAGCCTGAAATTGAAACTTTAGACTAAAAGTATCTTCTACAAAGTTGTTCCTTATAGTTAGGCCCTCATTTTTATGACAATGAATTCTAGGGTGGCTCCTATTATCATTAAAATCAAAAATCTAACTTTTTTGTTTGAATAAATTAAGGTATACATTCTTTGGAAAAGTTATAGCTGAGCTAATTTCAAGCAACTTTGTAGAAAATAACTTTTTTGTATCTCTTAAATTGGCCGATTTAGAGCTATTTTCTTGAATTGAGTTCGGGTGGCTCTTAAAAAAACAGTTGTTTTGCTCTAGTTTTCTTATTTCGAATTTCTCAGCAAAAGGTGTCTTCAAATAACTTTTAGATCTTAAGAAGGCGCAAATTTTTGCTGCACAAAGCTTGTCAATATCTTTCGCCGATCAAGAGTTATTGACGTTTTTATACTAAAAATATGCACTTTTCAAATGTTACTTTTTTTTTTTTGTTTGCCCCAGCCAGAGATATGAACATTTTAAAAGGGCATATTTTTAGTATAAAAACGTCAATAACTCTTGATCGGCGAAAGATATTGACAAACTTTGTGCAGCAAAAATTTGCGCCTTCTTAAGATCTAAAAGTTATTTGAAGACACCTTTAGCTGAGAAATTCGAAATAAGAAAACTAGAGCAAAACAACTGTTTTTTAAGAGCCACCCTAACTCAATTCAAGAAAATAGCTCTAAATCGGCCAATTTAAGAGATACAAAAAAGTTATTTTCTACAAAGTTGCTTGAAATTAGCTCAGCTATAATTTTGCCAAAAAATGTATACCTTAATTTATTCAAACAAAAAAGTTTCAATTTTAGGCTCAAAACATATCATTCCACCTAAATCTGCATTCTGAACCACTGTGCATTGTCACACATACGGACCAAGCGTCTCCATGAAATGCTTCAAAAATTTCACTAGTGGAAAGTAGGTAAAGACGGACATCTTAAGTTTAAGTTAGAAAATCTACTAATATATTTTTGGAGGCGAACCAGCCTAAGGCTGAAAGCCTCCTAAATAAAGCTAAATAATAATAATACCAATATATTTATGCATTATATATATTTTTTTTTTTCTTTATTTAGGAGATTTTCAGCCGTAGGCTGGTTCATCTCCTCTTATGCATTATACTCATATTTTATAAGAAAAGTCATTACTGCTTGTGAGTTTAAAAAAAATATATTTTTTAATCTACAATAAAAACCATGCTTTTCTCGGACATTTTTCGGACGAACACTTCTAAGGGTAAGATGGACACTCACAGAAATGATGCAGAATGCGAAATAGTAGACGGAATTATGACATTATTTAGTTGAAGCCTGTTTTTTGTGCATAGTATGGGTAGTGTTTTGTTTTATTTAAGAAAAAGTATTTTATGAACATAAACTTAACGTACAAGCAATTCAGCAGCCAAACAAACAATACTATATCCAGAGTTAAAACCAATTCATATTCCAATGTGAAAATCATGGCAAGTTAGGAGCAGTTTCAGCAAACTGTAGTAGCGGAATTCCTAAATCGTCAACAAAGATCCAACAATATCATCAAATTTCAGAAGTTACAAAAAATTCAGAGGAGTTAGCAAAACACTATTTATGTTGTTTTAGTAAGCAAAAGTTCAGCTAAGTTCGCATATCGCAACCAGAGTTTAAATATTTTAAACAAGCCTTAAAAAAAAACAGTGAAGGTTCAAAAGCATCAACGACATGTGAACAACTTAAGATATGCTCCTAGTACTTCAGCAATGGTCCGAAAATCTAAGCAAAGTTAAAAAAGTCGGTGAAGTTCCAAACATTTCAGCAAAATGCAAATCACTTCAGTGAAGATCTAAAAACTTGAGATTAGCTCTAAAAACTTCGGAGATATTCCATGAGCTTAAGAGAAGTTCCGAGAACTTTGCGGAATTTTCGAGAACTTTGGAGAAGTTCCGAGAACTTAATGAACTTCAAGTACTTGTTATAAACACTTAGAAATTCAGCTAAGCTTCAAGAACATCAGCAAAGTTCCAAAAACTTCAGCTAAGATTATAAAATGTTTGCGAAGATCCAAGAATTTTTGAATAGTTTCAAAAACTTTATCAAAGCTCATACATCTTTACGCCAGTCATAGTGCCACGCGTTACACAATGCAAGGGGGAGGGGGAATTGGTGAATGGGGTATGCTTTGTAACATGTTGGAGGGTGGAGTGTAAAAGTGGCCATTTTTGCGTTACATAATTTGTGAACAGACCGAAACAAGTAAAAGGTTAAAGTGCAAATAATAAACGTGATGAAAATATCGTGGTTGCCAGTTTTCTAATTTGGGAATCACACCGTGGGCGTTTAGTAGGATACGAAAAATGATATGGAATTTATTTTAAACCCATTCATACGCTCGATTTTGTTTGAAAGATATTTGTAATGGGTTGCATTCACCCGAATCACGAAACGTTCAATAAATTGGGGACCCAAATGCAGCTTCCTTCACTGAAATCACAACTTATATTTATTTAGAGAAAATAACTCAAATTCAACACATAAAATATTATATTTTTATCATGCACTGCAAGTGCAAGTAAATTCAAAGACTGAAAAAAAATTCCATAAAACTTCTCCGCAACCAAACCAGCAGCCACTTCACTGCCCTCTGCAACTGCGGTTCGTCTCTTAACCACTCATTGAAGTCTCCCCGCAAGATTTCCTTTCTCGTTGAGTGCGCGTGAGTACACTCTCACTCAGCCACTCATCTGGGATCGCACCCATCCCCACCATCGTTGCGAGTACTTAAATTGTACTCGTAATCGTCGTTGCACTCAGGAAGTAACGAAAAAATGAAAGTCTTCCATAAATACACCTTATGAAACTTAATCCTCATCTAGTAGGACCGTGTCTGTGCCATTGCCGGTACGTTTACCGTATCATTTGCTATCCGTCATATGCACTACTAACATTAGCCACCCCAAGTGATCAATCGCAAACGAAAAGAAAAAAAATTGGACCTCTTATTGAGTGCTTGACCCCCACCCCACCCCCACGGTCACTCACCATCGCGTCTTCGTCGGCGCCATCGTTGCGAGAGAGTGAGTTCTTCGCGAGTGTGCTGCGAGAGTGAGCGTGTTCAGCTCGGCGGGGGGACCCCGGGAGAACTCGCGGGTACAAGCGCGCGTGCTTCGTGCCACGGCAAAACGCGTGCGCCTATATATAAATAGTTGATGGTCTGGTCGGAAAGGTTTTAGTGCTGTTGAACATTCGAGCCCGTCTCCGGCTCCCTAATCCGTGGAGAATTCTAGTTTTTGTTTTCCTCCTTTTTCATTTGGTGGTGAGCGAAGAAAGGAGCTCCTGCTCGCAGGACAGCGGAGAGTGTGTGTGGTGGATTAGGCCAGCGTGCGCGCACGCAACAGTGAATTCAGTGGAATCAGTTCAGTGCTAGGAGTGGCACAGTGCAGTAGCCTTGAAATGGCGAATGTGATAAAGTTGTTCGGTTTTCTGTGCTTAGTGGTGGCAATCGGTAAGGAAAATTGATATAATTGAGCTCGGCATCTACTTATTTCAAGGAAGTGTGGGCTTGTATTTCCTGCAGGGCACACCAATTGGTCACCAATTATAGTTATAAGAGATACAAGTAGCTAAAACATCGAACCGCACCGGAGAGTGGGAAGTGAGAGGTTGTAAACGAAAGCGAATGTGTGATTTGTATCTTTATGCAACTGATGTTGATGATGATGGACTCGAGGGTGATCATCGCATTTCATCTTACGAAACGGACAGTTTTTTTTTATTCCTTCAATAAAAATAAAGCGGTTGTCTTAATTTCCATCTCCGGCTGCTTCGGCGGTGATGATCGCTCCAGGATGATGATGATGTGGTCAAACTGAATCAACCCAACCAACCCCGCACGCGATTATATAATATCCCATTTGCATTTCTCCTCTTTCGGATTATTACGGAATATTTAAAAAAAAAACCACTTCGGGGTCGACACCGAAAGCGAAAACCGAAACGATGTGGTTTGCAGTCAATAATAACAGGTGGCAGAAAACAGAGATGTGTGAGATGCTAGAGGCAGACATCAGAGCTCGAGATCGAGAAAGACTTAAACCAGTTTTCGCGTCCCCGTCCTGACCCACCCAAGATCCCCGTTTCGTTCGGGCCCTGATCTACTGGCAGGCATTTGCATAACTTTTTAGCTCAACCTGATTGCTATGGTGGGCTGGGTGCCGTGCTGGGCTGAGCTGTTGCAGTTGATTGGTTTTCACTTTTGTTTGCTATCTCTTGAGACATGTTTGTTTGAGGCTGTATGTGAGCTCGTGTTGAGTAGATGAATGCAAATCTGACTGCACCTAGTTCGAGAGCCAGTCTTGAAGCAATGCGGGCTTGGTAGATTTATGCACTTCTTGATTAGGTACACCGACTGGGGGCAGTTATATTGGATCGATTTATTTGCTTCTACATCGCAACGAAGCCATTTCCTAAGAAGTGCACCGAGATATTAAGAACCAGTTCCACACAAAGCAGACTGCTTCTTTGTTGAAGTTAACATGGACATCAGTAATGACAGAAAGCATAGATTTCTGCTTCTGGTTTTGCTTATGATTTCCTGAATCTATATTTGCTATCCTAACTTAATAATATTGCTGTTGGAATGTGTCACCTCTGAGACGAATAAACATCTTTTGACAGCAGCTTTCACAATAAGCAGCTTAGATTCTATAATTTATTAATTAAGCTAGCTTTAAGCTTAAATTTTAGTATTAAACATCAATTGACACCTTTTCTATGCATATAATCTTAAGGATTTTTTATGCAACACTATAGCAATTTACACGTAATATTGAGTAAACGAAATAGCAAATGATATCTCCGCAAGGAGCTTCAAACTTCTAGCTATATAAGGCAATTATACTAGTTGAAAGTTGGAAGCATATTCAATATTAAGTTATGCAACTAGTATTTACGACTTGAGTATACGCAAAACCAAATTCTCTTAATGTTATGGCAGTTCTTGCAGTGGACTGCAGCGTATAAGCAAGATTTTCCTAAATGCATATTTTTGTATAAAACCTTCACGAGATGATTTTGTAGTCGCAATGCATTTGGGAACACAATTTTTATTCGAAAAATAAGTCCAATACAAAAATTACAAAATTACTTTAAAAACCTTCTGGCGACCGCCTTACAAAATCTGTTCATCCTGCAAAACATTGCAAATTTTGTATGCTTTTTATTAAAATCCGTAATAGAATCTTACATTTCCAGGTTGGGTGTACCAATTATCTTTATTAGTTGCATAAGATTTTGTTTCCTTTCAATTTCTAATATGTATTGCATTGTCATAATGAAACGAGGGACACACCAATTTGCTTGCATATGTTTTCCACACGTTTTCCATTATGGAATAATTGGCTAGTGATGCAAAATTTCCGAGCAAAACTCATTGCAACTTATGCAATGCAGTCATGCTTGCGGTGTAGAGTCGCTGTAGAAATGGATAATTCTGATTGGTTCAAAAAATACTTTCTAGTTATGTTTTTTTCTTAGATTATAGAAGCTTTCAGTCATTCGCTGGTTTGCCTTCCAGTTATGTTTGATTATATGGCCCTGAATCAGAAATACTCTGAATGTGATACCATAATTCATGTATCAACAATTATCACAGTGGCAATTGGTTATGCCACAAGGTCTTGCATAATACATTCAACTGTCATAAAATCTGAAACTATGTGGCGAAATTTGGATATGATAATTGAAGATTCGAGTAAGGCGAAATACGTTAACATTTCACACTAGATATTAATGCAGAAACTTGCAGTCCTCAATTCTATTATTCGAATCGAGTTTTCGTTCAATGTTAGACAGACAGTCCCTAAATTTACAAAGACAGTAAACTACTACTGAGGAGTTGTATGCAAGAAAGTGATCATATATCTTGCCACATTGGATCGAACAATCATACCTACGATACGGTATCCAGGAACAGAACCACACAGCTTTGGTAATCAATCTCACAGCATCCTGTGCTGAACGACGACAACCCTATCCAGTGAGTTCACCAAAACTCACTATGACTAGCCAACTTTTCCCTTGGTGAACTTCGTGAAATATCGTGAAATTTTCCAACGCTGTCCCTGTCGAAGGTCAAGTTCAAAGACCGAAACGGCGGACATAAAACATAGTACAGAAATTACCCGATTTTGTCCGTCCTCTAGTTGAAAATCTTTTCTAATGTTCTACGATACCCATACGCTTTTTCAGTGGTCTTATATCACCAAAGTATACCTTAAACATCCATCTTGAAGATGAATGTGAAAGATTTGGAATTACGGTTTTGTGAAATTATTGAAAAAGATAAAAGTCTGATTCACGGAGGGGCTGACAAAATCGAGTCATTACTGTATTCGATTTTAAAGCAATAATAAAAATCAATTCTAGTTCCCCCAACTTGGAAAAATTCATGTAAATTTAGATGCTCTGCGACTAACATATACGAGCGTCAATTCAGCTCAATGCAACGTACTTTTCATTGAGTAACGAGCTAAACTTTAGATGACATGTTTGTTTACATCTCACCATTTATGACAACGATGGATTCCATCCAGAGCTGGTAAATATCACAACCGTCATGTGACAATGAGAAAACAGGCCCTCTCACTATCACGAGACGAAACTACCTATCATGAGATTTCTTATCATTTTCCAATAATCTATAGCATTCATGAGAATAATTGTCATACGGCTTTGACATCAACATTTTCAACTGATGTAGATAAATTAAGACAAGCAACAGCATGTAATCGGTAGAATGAATATATTTTTAAGATTTCAGCTGTACAAATTACAATAATATCAATAATTGAGCTAGTAATAGCGATGATAACAACACTGTCACGTTCTGTCATGACGAAGTAAATCTCTATCATGGTTTTCTCATCCGATGATAGTGACAGAAGTATCTCTGTAAATATCGCGTGAGATCTTTCATTGAAATTGACATTTGCCAGCCCTGATTCCGGCACGTAAAAATTAGTAATTTTTAAGTGTGCCAATGTATCTACAAAACAAGCATCGGCTATATCAATCCTGATGATGGAATTCTCCAGATTTGCTCCTGTATTTGTAACAGAGTGAAGCCAAGCGAATCTTTTGAGTCTTTCGGGTAACCCTAGCAGCGCACTTGTCACTGAACAATTGTGGTTACTTGTGTGTGACTTATTCCAGTCACAATTATTTCGATGGCAGTGTGCTGCTTGGGAAGGTAAGGTTCTACGGATATTACAAAAACTACCGATCAGCTGTGGTAACTGTAAGCACCGGCGAACAGATCGGACAGCTGATACAAGCAAAATTTGACTATTAGTAATGGGTAAAGTTGGTATGTTGGAATACGCCCCACTGCTCTCTCAATCTGTTTTTAGGTCCCCAACAACTTGCCAAATTTAAGAGAATAGAGCTATGATCTGGATTTGCGGGAGTACTTTAAAGTTTGTGTGGGAAAAAATATGGAAATCGAACAGAAACTATTTATTTTTCTTTCCAAAAAACTAAACACTGCTCAAATCTGATACCTACTTAGATTGGATCATTTTTGCAGGAAAACTTTGTTGAAGACCGCAAATCGATTCGACTTCCGAGTAAAAAGTTAGTTTTCACAATCTAAGTTTTAACCTCACCACGACTAACAGCACCTGCACATGGGCAAAAAGTTATTCCCAAAAAAAAATATGTATGGAGATTTCAACATTTTTGCAAAAATATCGATTTATATATTATCGAAAATAAATTTGGTGGCCAGTTCGGTAAAATAAAAGCTACTACTTGTACCAAATATTTTTTTCGAAAAAGGCTCTATTTTCGTAAAAATCAACATTTTCTGTTTTCCGGCCACACAAAAATCGCTGTAACTTTTTTTTACCAGCGACATCTGTTGGGAAGATCAACCAAGCTGTTAATCGATTGCATAGTTTCTTTCCGGTTCCAAGACATTTTCCCATACAAACTTTAAAGTTCTCCCGTAAATCCAGATCATAACCAAATTCGTTCAAATTTGGTACAGCTGTTGTAGGACCTCAATCGAAAAACCAGTGGAGAGCAAGCAATTGTAAAGTTGACCCACCCTAATGGCAATAAGGAATACATAAATCCAAAGTGATTTGAGATTAGGCCAGAACTGCTGTTATAGATAATGATTTCAAAGGCCGATTGTTCGTGAATAAAAACCTTGCTGTCATTCAAATGTTGACAGTACCATCATAGAGGTAACTCTAAGACTAGAAGGTCCCGAAATAACGTGCTCAACTTTTTGGCTCAGCTCTTCGGTCCCAAGCTAATCATTTCACCCCTCGAAACATAGGAAAATCCACTAACCCCTCATTTTATCTGTCAAACTTTCATAGCGAATCAAAACAAACATTGTGTAGTAGTAGAATTTCGACTAGAATCGGGTACGTTAATCGTTTGCTTGGGACCAATAGGCTAGTCAAGTAGTGAGCCAATTTAAAATCGTTAGTTTCG